CCCAGCCTCTGCTATTCTCTCTTGGTAGATAGATGATCATGGGTGGGATATATAAGGCAGGTGGGATCCAGACGTGTGGAGTTGCATTCCTTATGCCCCTTAATAGGTGCATCCGTGCTTTCAGATGCTAAGAGTTTGGATGCTGAAGGATACTACATTTCCCCCAAAGATTTTTTTCTTGCTTCCTACCCTCAATCCTTACACTCCAGGTGGAAAAACCTGTTGGCTTTACAACCCTCCAACCCAGGCACTGTGGTCAGCCCCATTTTCCAGGAAGTCAAGGTACAGTGGGGGTTAAGTGACTTGCTCAAGAGTTGCCTAGCTAGTATTGATGGGAGCTGAGTTCTAAACATGGGCCATAGCTTGGTTTGGGGCCACGCTATTAAGCATGTGCTGAAGGTGCCTCTGTAGATGTTTTTAAAGGGGGACATGGGAGCACTGTGGAGCCTTTGTGACATGCTTTTTCTCTGTGCTGGGACTAGGCTGGGCTGGGTACAAGACTGAATGTCACAGGGCCAACTCGAAGTAGGTCTATAAGGGTGTGAACAGGATGAAAAAGGCATCTGAAGTCACATCAGGTACACGACAGCTGCAGGAGCTCAGGCAGGTTAAGTGGGGATGACGTCCAGGTAGGCCCTTGTCATTGTGTCAAGGAGTAAACATCTGTCATAGTTGGCCTAGAGAGTCAGGGGAGGGATTGGAGGCACAGCCATTCCCAACAGCTGTCACCCAGGTGAACACACGTGTGGCTAGGAATGATGAGGAATAGGAAGTGGATTATTTGGATTCACTTGAAGGAAGAAAGTTTGGATACTCAGCTGATACTCATTCAGTCTTGGTTACACTGTAGTTTTGTCTCTAGAAATACCTAAGCAAGAATTAGACAGTCCCTTGAAAATACCTGGGGGTTTCCAGGTGAAGCCTACCACTGTAGCAGCCTGGCCCACAATCATATTGTCTGATCATCTTAGGCAGAGTGAGTGCAGGAAGAGGAACTGAGGAACGGCAAGCAGGGCCAGAGGAGGCCAAGAGACACGGGGTAGGAAGCTTTTGCGTCTCTGCCTACCACATAACATGTGCAACATGCACACAGGGTTTTCAGCTCAGGAACCCTGGGAGCTCCTACCAGAAAGACAATCATATCTGGAGTTCCGAACTCATGATAAGGTCTTGGTTTAAAAACAAAAACCACCTGCAGGCAGCTGTGGCAGTTGCGCTCTGAAGAGGAGGCGGGGCTTTGGTGCTCAGAACAAAACATACCCATGACTCATTGGAGGGCCTTACTATGGAGGACTAGGTGTGGCTGGGTTGCTCTGCCTAGGACTCAGTGCCCAGGTTACCAGGACAAACATCTATGAGCACTGAACTCTGTAGGCAGTAGGGACGATTTTCGAGGTTTTCTACGGATAAGCAGAACACTTCCCAGAGAAGGAGGCAGGTTGAATTGAGTTTGTAATGTCCTTATTGGATGCAGGACCTTGGGCAAGTGACAGTATTTGTGATGAACCTTAGTGAAGAGATTGTGTGTGGGTCTCGTGTGTGTGTGTGTGTGTGTGAGAGAGAGAGAGAGAGAGAGAGAGAGAGAGAGAGAGAGAGGAGAGACAGACAGAGACAGAGACAGATAGGCAGACAGAGAGACTAGTCTTATTACAGATCACCTACACAGGGGGGAGTACTCACGGAACATGACTGATCCCTGGTGGATAACCCTGTATCAGTTCCTTCTAGGTTCCCTCTGGGAGACTCTTTTTAGAACCTTGTCAAAGCAAAGACAACCTTGGTGATGACTATTTTGGAGTTACTGCCTCCTCTCCACATCACCTTGGTACCTACTAGTTTCTTGTGCAAGCTGGAAACTTCTGCCCCATGATCCCGTTGACCCATGTTTAGTTAGTGTGTCTTCATAGCTTATGTCTTTCCAGCTTGCCAAGTCAAGGTCCTTCTGCCCAAACTAGACCATTCATAGTGTTGACAAGTGAAAAGGCCTAAAGCTGCCTGGGAACGGCTAGGAGGGAAACCAGTTTTTCAGCTTCAGGGCCTTGCCACAGCCCACTGGGGTTTTCTCAACCATCCATCCTACCAGTCCTAAGCTGCTTGCTAAGTTCCTGTTTCAGAGAGAAACACAGAAGTTAAGAGATGGGCCAGCCTCAGAGCAAGGGCTGGCTGGGTGAGGGTTTGGGGAGCATCTCTCACTCCCAGCTGTGATGAACCATGGGTTGGGGAGGGCAGGGATGGACAGAGAGGAAACGGTGGCTACTAAATCTTCATATTTCTGGGTTTTTTTGAGACCAAGAGTGCCCCACTATTGATTTAAGGAAGTGCCCAGTGAGTTGGTAAAATTCACTGCTGACGTGGGTTAACTAGTAAAGAGTAGATAGCCCAGCCCCTTCTGAGGTCCCAACTCCTGACCAGCTGAAGCCAGTAAGAGCTGACTTTGTTATCACTTGTAGATGAACTATTTAAACTCCCTGTGAGTGTGTTTGTGTATGCATCTGCCATTTTGCCCACATCCTTTTCTCGTCTGAAAAGAAGTTTTAAAGCACAAAGGAATTTAAGTAGTGGCTGCCTGTAATAGCAATCCTCTGAGGCTGAGGCAGGAGGATTGCCATGAATTCAAGGTCAACCTAGGGTACATTGTCAATTACAGGCCATCTGGATTATATAGCAAGACCTTCAGCAACAACAAACAAAAAATGTGGCTTCAGGCAGAGCTTGGTGGTGGGCTATTGTCCCAGTATTTGGGAGAGAAGGGCAGAAGGGTAGAGAGTCCCAGGCTAGCCTGGGGTACATAGGAAACCTCAGTTTCAAAAATATCTCAATACCTTACCACTTTCATCACAGGTACATGACCTCAACCAGGTCTCCTTTGGTCTCATTTTATTCGTTGGTGACTATGGGGGTGACAGAAGCAAACACTGAAAGTGGGAGAAGATAAAAGCCCATTTGCCCATGACAGGCTCTCTCTGTCTCCGTCTCTCTGTCTCTGTCGCTTTCTCTGCTTGCAGATCAGAATGCAGCTCTCAGCTCCTTCTGCTGCCATGCTCCCTACCATGACAATCATGGGTGAAGCCTTTGAAACTGTAAGCAAGCCCTCAATTATTAAATGCTTTCTTTTATAAAAAGGAAAAGAGAGGAAGAGGGAGAGGGGTCACCACAGAGCTGAAGCAGAAGGTCTGGGATTTAATACTTGCTCCTGGCAGACTGCATGACCTTAGGTGTGTCCTTTTCTCTCTCTGCTCATGAGGGCCTGTTCAGGACTGAAGATGGAACTTGCAGGTTTGGGTACAAACTGGAAATGTAGGGCTCTTTTTTTTTTAAGTATTAAGAATTATGAGACAAGGCAGAGGGACACCCAAGTCTAGCTTCTACCCCATGAGGCCACCCAGGATTGACGAGACTGTCTCAAAAAATAAGAACAAAAATGAATGAGCAGATAAACAAAAACACAAAAGCAAGCAAGGAAGAAAAGAACTGTGAGACAGGTGCTAGGAAGAGACCATTTCAAAACAGCTTGAGAGCCCCCACCCCCCAGCTCAAGTCCCCAAAGGAATGCCCAGGTCCCACAAAGCTGACCCTTCAACTTCTTCAAGCATAGTTGTATGGAAAGCCCAGGAGGGCTGCTTGCTGCTGAAGCTCTGCTTTCTGTCACAGGCCCTGCAGCGTTTCTAAGGAAACTCAGGCTCTAGGGAGCATAGTTAGAAAAAGCCGAAT